CCCCATTTCCTTCCCGGTGTGAATTCAGGGAGCCGTACAAGCAAACAGATCTGTCTCACAGCCCACAACGAGCCTGTGCTTTATGTACAGAGACACCCCAGCTGTTTCCCTGCTGGGACTTTTCTCTAGGATTATTCATTGCAATTCACCCTAGTGGTGTTATTTTCCCTTATTTAATTACCAGGTTTGTTGGTTTTTTTCCCCCCCTGTTAAATCATTTTCATTCAAGCAAGGCGAAAAACAAAAAAAGAAAGAAAATTAAAAAATCAACCTGAAGATTTCCTTTATGAAATAAATCAACAAACTGAGATGGTTGCACCAAATTGCAAAGACATGAGGGACAAAGGGAGCCATTTTCCTGATGTTGAGTCAAAAAGAAACACAACAATTGAGCAAAAATCACGGCGGGTTAGGGAGAGAGAGACTCCAAAGGTTGATCTCGAGGCAATTAGAGAAGGGAGTGTGATTGGAGTGGGGGCTGCTGCTCTGCTGGGCTCTTTGCCCTGCATGAGCACACACACACACACACACACACACACACACACACACACAGATTTTGGGGTTTGGGGAGCAGATCAGATGGAGGGGAAAACCCCATTGTCCTTGTGGGGGTCAGCTGTGTCATCCCTGCAGGCTCTGAGCTTCCCCGTGTGGAAATGGGGGGACCCCAGGTTGTTAAATTCCAATTTTCAGTTTCCCCTCAAGCTCTGCTGTCGTATCACTGAAATTTTGGGGTCTCTTTTTTGGACACTGCCAGCATGGTGTGGCTGCTGCCTGTTCTTTGCTGAAGAAGAGGCACCCTGCACCCCAAGGAAATCCACTTCCATTTGGAATTTCCCCCTGGCATGAGCAGGGAATCCTTTGGCACAGGGAGGCTGGGAAGGTTTTTGGGTCCTTCCCATCACCCCCAAACTCACCCGGAGTGGGGAGCAGGGGCAGAGCTGGGGGGGAGCAGGGGGGGCTCAGCCCCTCAGCACGGGGAGGAAAGCCAAGCCTTAAGGGTGGGCTGGGATTTGGACACCCCAAAAGGGACAGGGAGACCACAAATGAGATAGGGAGACCTCAAAAGGGTCAGGGAAAAACCCCATATGGGACAGGGAGACTCCAAAAGGGTCAGGAAGACCCCAAATGAGATAGGGAGACCTCAAAAGGGTCAGGGAAAAAACCCAAATGGGACAGGGAGACTCCAAAAGGGTCAGGAAGACCACAAATGAGATAGGGAGACCTCAAAAGGGTCAGGGAAAAAACCCAAATGGGATAGGGGGACCCCAAATGGGACAGGGAGACTCCAAAAGGGTCAGGGAGACCCCAAATGGTCAAGGAAAAAACCCAAATGAGATAGGGGGACCCCAAAAGGGACAGGGAAAAACCCCAAATTGGACATGGAGACCCCAAAATGGTCAGGGAGACCCCAAATGGGTCTGGGGTAAGGAGCACACGGAGTCAGATCCTCTGCTCTTGGTGGAGGGACTCTCACTGAGGATCTGGATTTCCTTTTCTTTGGCCTTTCTCTTTTTTTTTAAACATGATTCCTCAGCTCCAGGGATTTTATCTCTCTTTTTCTTCGTCCTCTGGCTGTAATGGTCATTGTGGAATTAAAACTGCAGACAGACAAACAAACAACCCCAACCCCACTTTATATTGGTTTTTTTTGCTTTGATTTCTTTTTTATTTTCTTTTTTATTTTGTAATCTGTGTTGTAAGTGCTTTTGTAAAAAATAAAAACTAAAAATAATAATAATTATGTAATGGACCTTTATGATTTTTGGTTTTTGGTTTTTTTTTCTGTG